GAGTATTATCATAGATCCTTTCCTTGGCAATTTCCTGCTTAACGTTCGATAGATCTCTAGTGCGGACTTCTTTATCATGCCATTCCCCACATGTCAGTCTCCGTTTCCTTCACTTTCTTCTTAACCGATAGTTCTTTTTGGTTTGGCCACCTGCTGTTTTCTAAGTATTTACCAGTCAAATTCCTGGTTCGCTTCCTCCATTTTGTATCGACATTCTTCATGTACAAGTAGCTGAAAACCTTCCTAGCCCAACGCTCTTCCCCCATTTCCCTCAATCGCTTCTCAAATTTTATCTTGCTGCTAGCTTCCCTGCCCTCAAATGATGTCCATCCCATATCACCTTGTACTCCCTGATTTGGTGTATTCCCGTGAGCTCCTAAAGCAAGCCTACCTATTCCACGTTGCTTAATTTCTAATCTTGCTTGAACTTCTGATCTCATGCACAAGACCGCATTGCCGAACGTCAGCCCAGGAACCATGACCCCTTTCCATATTCCTCTCACAACATCATATACCTATTGTAATTCCATAGTGCCCTATTTTTCATGACTGCTGCATTCCTGTTACCTTTAGTCGTCACGTATATTTCGTGTTCCCTCAGATACTCGGTCCCATTGCTTATCCATACGCCCAGACATTTGTATTTATCTGTTATCTCTAGCGTGACCTCCTGTATTCTAAGCTCACTACCTTCGTTGTCATTGAAAATCATGACTGCTGATTTTTCCTTACTGAATCTAAACTCTAACCTACCTCCCCCATTACCGCAGATGTCCATCAATCTCTGCAAATCTTCCTTGTTGTTGGCCATTAGCACTATATCATCTGCGTACATTAATGCTGGTAGTGCCTGATCAATAAGTTTTCCTTGTTTGACTAAAGAGAGGTTGAAGCCCAGTCCACTTCCCTCTAATTTTGCCTCTAATCCTTGTAGGTACATCATGAATAATAAGGGTGACAGGGGGCACCCCTGCCTAAGCCCCCGTTTTACCTTTGCAGGCTTGGATACCTGTTTTTCCTACTTTATAACTACCTTGTTACCTTTATAGATACCCTTTAAAAGATTAGTGACTACATGTTTCATGCCTAATGTGTCCAGTATTCCCCACAATTCCTCTTGAACCACGCTATCGTACGCTTCCTTGATATCCAAAAATGCTAGCCACAGGGGCCTGTGTTCTTTTTCTTTGACACATGCGCACAACGCCGTCTAGTGAGCAGTTCATGAACTGGAGGTGGCTACCTATATACTACATACAAGCGGAGGAGTGAACGACCCACATGCTGAGGAGCTTCGCCCCTCAAATATTGGGCTTCCTCGTCACAAAAGATAAAAGCCATCTGTATCGCTTGCGTGTTCTTTCTCGAAGGCTGTGTGCCCATCAGCGTCTATTACAGGTATTACGTCAAGAGTTCTATACCATGTTATTAGAGCACACGCCAATCATAACTTGGTAATGCTGGGCACGCGACGATAACACAAGTCATCTATACACCAAGTTAAGGCAAGCAAGATAGACTATTGTTGCGAGTAACAGAGACATGCTGCAAATACGGTTTTTCATATAGCATATAGGCCAAGCACAAACTCGTTTACTGACCATAAAATTATGGTCTTTTACGCAAAACAAAGAAAAAAGAAGACGTAAAGACAACGGTTTCTTTTCCTTTTCTAGCTATTTTTCGGTAAGAGGCGATAATTTTGATGCCCGCAGTGGTGAAAATGTTAATATGGTGCTCGGCGTCTGGGCCGAAGGTCGCGGGTTCGATCGTGGCAGCGTGAGTCGCATATTGATGAAGAGAAAATGGTAGATGCCTGTGTACTGACCGATGTCTGTGCACGTTAAAGAACAGCGAATCACCGAAATTTGTTGAACCACACATTGCAGCATCTCTCATAATCGTATCGTAATTTTGGGACGTAAAACCTCTGATGATATTGTTACGAGTGACCGTGTTTATTTACAGATGAGGTGAAATGGCGTTGCGAAATAGCAGCGTACTTCTGAGACAGGCCTAGAACGCTTCCACCCAACCACACAGTCCAGGTGCCGCTCCACTACTCTTCTTCTTCTTCCGCGCCCCGTAGAATCAGAGGGTGAAACTCCGCAGTTTTTCTGTACCGTGACCGCAGCGATCCTAACGTTTGGGGGCTGTACTACCTAAATGAACGTTCTCGTTCTATTTTATAGTTATTACTAGGTTACTGAATAACTCCGGAGTTTTTACTACACAAGTGAACCTAAAGGTTGCAGTTCGAGATTGCGAAAATAAGAGCGCCACCCGAAGTGGAAAACGGGAACTGCGCAGTCGTCCTATCTCTCACGGCGAAAAAGGGGCGTTTCTTTTCGCGCACCCATGTATGCTACAGCCTGCGGTGTCCCAAAGGCCGCTTTTACCGCTGTAAAGTTGGTTTTAGCGAAACCCATGCAAGATTCAGCCAAAAAGACGCATCCATGGATTCTCGCCGTCATCACAAATCGTGCTGCGCTGAGTGGTGTCGGAATTCTTCACGACACACCGGCATAAAATTCTTTCGGATCCCGGCGGACGAAAGGTACGATCTGCATGCTGCTCGTTTTGTCTTTCTACGCTTGCACGGCATATCAGGATGCGGTTGCTGCAGTAGCTGTGTAACTTAATTGAGCTACACGTACATGATTTATTCATTACATTCTGATTGTCTGCTTTTCAGCTTAGATTATACATGACATGCACGGCAGAGCATCTGGAAATTATTCCAGCGAATACATTTGCTACGCACGATTGTTTATACTTGCGTTTTCAATTTAATGCGTTTCGATCGTGCATTGCATTTCGATGTTGCACTTTGGCTCAAGGCAATGCAAGGCATGTCACAAATGTATTTGTAGCAGCATGTACAGTAACTAATAGAACAGTGTAAGCTCATCCGCACTCTTTTTATTACCTTTTGATTGCCTGCGTTCAGTCTGTTCTCGTTGCATGCGTTATTATTATTCTTGAATATTATCAGCCTATTTATGTCCATAGCTGGAGGAAGGCGATTCCCATAATCTTTTGGCTATAAGGGAGGGTCCATATACGTTCACAGCATGTGTTGTAAGTACTACGTTAATTAAGTACTGAGTACATAAATTATTACACTTGCGAGTTTAGACGGATGTTATTACATTATTGCGTTTCAATTGTGTGTTTTCATTTTGGCCTCACGTAAATCCACGGCATATTGTAGAGGAATTTAGCAATAAATTTATAAAGTAATAATTTATAATGTATACTACAATTTCATGTTTTTAGTTTCAGCCTTAAGTACAATTACGATACATTTACAAGAATGCAATTGCAGCTAAAAGCCCATATATAATTGGACAATGTAAACTTACGTGTTCTACTAATTTATTACCGGTTTTAATAAGGTTTTTATGAAATATTTGCAGCAGGGCGCGAGAAATACCCGAAGAATACGCAGTGCGCGAGGGTATATATGTACGAATAGTTGTTTAGAGATTTTGGTGTGGGATAATTGCTATTGTCTGCAAAAATATATTTTGAATTAGGAGGAAAGCTGGGGTCGTTGCCACCAAACATTACTATCGCACAAGTAGAAGCATGTATCCGCGTCTCTTAATAATAAAGACAGATTTTATTTTAAAGTTTGCTTTCAGGATTGCTATCACAAGTCGTCTTGGTTACAAAAATTCAATTAAGAAAGGAAGATGAGAAATGTATCAAATAACGCTTACTTTGAATAAAGATGCCAGTTTTCACTCAAAGCTATCCATCTACGCCTGAAAACAGAAATTAATCCATTCTAACCGAAATACTACACACGCACACATTGATTTTCCAGATCTCGCACTTGGCTTCAGTATGCGAGACGGCAGGACCTGGCTCATTTACCACCTCGTCAGATCTACAGCAGCTACCGCCTGTGCTCTGCCCATTTCACCAGCAGAGACTACGCAGACCCTGGACAGACAAGGCTGCTAAGATGTGCTGTGCTAACAGTTTCCGTCTTTGGCGATTGGCAGACACACGTCGAAAGTCCAGGTGGGAATACTGTAAAGTGATCATACAACAGCACAAACTTTCATGCCTCTACATCTATTTACAGAAATGTCTTAATACTCAATATCTGTAGCTGTCCGAGTTATCATGACTCAGTATTTTTAAGATTCTCGCACAGATTACACCAACAATATCAACGCATGGTGTACACAGCATCCATGGATTCGCCGGCATGATTTTGCTGGTAGATATAACTAGCTAAGTAAAAAATTTGCCGGCTTCACAATCGTTAAATTTAGAGCAAACGTCTCACTCAGAACGCTCTACATGTAACCTCCTCGATTCTGATTCAGTTGTCTCTGCTATTTTACCCGTGGCGTAGCGTTTTACAGGAAAAGGCGAAAATGACCTCATAACTTGAGAGAGTACTCCATGTGGCGCGTTATCAGCTATTTCGCACATGGCGAGTGAGTAGCGGCCAACTTGGTGTCGCTGTTAAAACAATTGCGCGACACCTCTGACAGTGGGAGCAACAGAACTGGCCTTTTAGAAATATATGTATATTCTACGACACCCTAGTTCAAAGTCACTTTTAAAATTAAGAATCCAAAAGGTACTTTATTTTTATTAGCTTTATTATTACAAAATACTTTTATTTTCAATGGGCCAATTAAGTGTAATAGGCAAGAATTTGGTTACGCGCTAGGTCATCACGGGCACCACGATGTTAACCTGTTCTACGCACATCGCATTGAGATTTTTAAAATATTGGTTTAGGATAGTTGGGACACCCATATATTTAGTGAGTGACACGTAGCGTTCTCTTTTTGTGGGTTTACACTTTTTTATTACTCGTACTGAAAAATAATACGCGAGGAGACCAATTATTAGTGAGAAAACGCCCTGAGTGATTGTAATTGCAAATATTTAATGTGACGCCTAATACCAGCTGTATGTATGTCACGCTGAAATCTGTGCTCTGCCAATTTCTCTTCACAGGCTCTCCTCTGCCCGCGAATACCACTGCAATGCCCGCTCACAGCGCCGATGAAGAAGTTCAACAGACTGAGCCCTCATGTACGCAAATTGTATTGCTCTCTAAGCTCTTTAAATCTATTCCAGATAAAGAAATGCCCTGCAGCTATCGTTTTAATGTCACGTACCATTTAACAGATCCTAAAGTGCACTAGGGTGTTAGCTGGGTGAGCTAGTTCATTGCTAGGGGACGAGAACCAGGGCGATGTATACCGAAAGGCAGGACGAGATGAGTGCTTGTCCGATCCCTTTCTTGCTTGTTTGTTGCCTCCTAAGAGGGATTAGTGCCCCGCCACGGTGGTCTAGTAGTTATGGCGCTCGACTGCTGACCTGCAGGTCGCGGGATCGAATCCCGGCCGTAGCGGCTGCATTTTCGAAGGAGGCGAAAATGTTTAAGGCCCGTGTGCTTAGATTTAGGTGCACGTTAAAAAACCCCAGGTGGTCGTAGTGGAGGCCCAGGAGCCCTCCACTACGGCGTCCCTCATAATCATATCGTGGTTTTGGAACGTTAAACCCCAGATATTATTATTATTAATATAAGAGAGATTAGTGTTTTTTAAAGAAGACTATGAATTCGTTGTTTTTTCCTAAACATACCATTTTAAACGTATAACCAATAATGTTTGTTAACAAGAAGTATGCTAATGATTAGGAAAAATTAGTTGACGCTTCATGTTGCCCACGATGCTTATACATGCCATTAGTAGGCTCAATGCCCAGCAGTGTGCTTATCAGAGGCCTGTTCCCAATGCGCCAAGTTTGATTAAGTGGAGGATCGAGAATTAAATATGACCAACTGATTACTCATGGAAGTATTAACTTCAATTCTAAAAGCCGCTAGAACTTTTACTAGGTTTAAAGATCATGGTCAGCTTTCACAAAAACACAGTATAAATGAGCTTTTTTTTCTAAATCTTTCAGGTTCCAATCCAGCGGGTCGACAACACAAGCCTTCTAGGTGCTCGCCCCGGACAGCCAGAAAAATGAAGAACCTGGAGAAGATAAATTCAAGGCTTCGGAAGGCACTGTCAAGAATTGGCAAGAGAAAGGTTAAAAAGTTTCCCCAGTCCGAGGCGTTGAATGCTATCAGGCCCTACGTCCGCAAGACATTCTTTAGATTGCTTGAGACTCAAGTTAAAATTAATGGCGTGAAACGTAGAGGACGGAGGTTGTCGCCCGAGCACCGCCAATTCACTTTAAACTTATACTTTCATGGTCCGAAAGCGTACAGACATCTGTCAAGACTGCTTGACATGCCAACTGTGAGGTCGCTAAAGCAGTGGTTATCAAATATTCCGATGACTCCCGGAGTTATTCCAACCGCTATTGAAGCCCTCAAAGAAGCTACCAGAAATTGGCATTTAACAGATCGTGCGTGCACAATAATATTTGACGAAATGTCCTTGAAGGAACATCTGCAGTATGATGCAAAGCATGACATTGTGATGGGATTCTCCGATGACGGTAGGCAAAGAACACCAGCCGTGGCAAATTCAGCGCTCCTGATACTTGTGGCAGGCAATCAAAAACGTGGATTCAGCCTGTTGCTTACACAGTATCAAGGACCAAAACGCCCGCAGATACTCTTCATCATCTGATCATAACATTAATCAAGCAGCTGCAGGGAGCCCGGTTGTTTGTGAAGGCGCTCATCTGCGACTAGGGGGGAAGCAACATCACTTTGGCAAGTAAGCTAGGTGTGACGCCTGAAGAGCCGTTTTTTGTGCTTGAAGGCCGCAAGATTTATTTCCTATATGACACACCACACTTACGTAAATGCACAAGGAATAATCTCCGCGCACCTCACAAGCTCCGTATCGGGCAAGAAATTGTGGATTGGTCTTTCATTACGCAACTATACGAAAGCTCGCATCCTCTCAAACTCAAATTGGCGAAGAAACAAACCGACAACCACATTTACCGGAAGCCTTTCAATAACATGAAAGTTAAATATGCCAGCCAGGTGATGAGCGAATCGGTCTCAGTGGCCATTGATGTATTCATTGCTCTTGGCGTGTTGCCGGCATCCGCCAAACCAACAGCAGATTTTCTCAAGAAGATAGATAAGTTATTCGACTGTCTGAATAGCTCTTCTGTAAAAAAAGCCAGTGACAAGTTACGTTATGCGATTTCGGAAGGGTCCGAACACCGAGCCTTTTTGTGGGAGTGCCTGTCGTGGGTTGAAAGGAGGAAATTTGACGGGCCTCGGCAACCACACACAGTTGAGGCATGGAAGGTCACCTTAAAGGCTATCCTTCGCCTCTGGGACGACCTCTTCCAAGATTTTGATTTTCGTGTCCTCTTGACTCACTGGCTACAGCAGGACCCCCTGGAGAATTTTTTCGGGCTTCTTAGGTTAAAGCATGGCTGCAATGACAACCCAATTGTGCTTCAGTTCACATCAGGTCTGAAACACATTTCTGTTGGCAAACTGGTTGCCCTTTTTCCAGAAGGAAACTGTGAACACGATCGCAGCATTGTGTTGGCACAAATGTCAGAGCCACCTCATTCGCTTCCTACTACTTGTGATGCAGCACCAACAGTCGATATGCTTCCTGATGAGGAACAGCCCGTTAGCCATGATATAGTAGAGGATAACGTTCTCTACTATGTTGGGGGATATCTCGTACGGCAATTTTTGTTGCACAGGCCTCCACACTGTGTGTGCAACACCCTTTTGAAGAATGCCGACCGCCAGCTTTGTGCATCACACCAGTATTTTGCTATGTTTAAGGCAAGCAACATCACCTCAGATTTATTTGGCAATGTAACAATGCCTTCTGACGATTGCTTTCAGGATATTAAGGCCATGGAAGCTTGCTTTTTGGAATATATCGGTGTTGTGGCGCACCTGCCTAATGTGAGTGGAGTTTTGGCAGGCATTTTGCACAGTTGTATGGGAAGGCAAAAATTCTGCTCTGAAGAATGCAAGAAAGCCTTTGTGCACCTCTTTGCAAGGATTCGCCTGTTGTGGCATATTCGCTTCGTGAACATCTCCTTGGCTAAACAATTCACCAGAAAATCTGCTGCAGCACGAAAAATGCGGAAGTTTTGTAACTTTTAGGATTCTGTTTGCATATTTGAGGTCTTGAAAAACTGAGCGCTCAGAAAACACGGACGACAAAAAGACACACATATGCGCAAAAGTAGGCGCTACTTCCATATTTTTGAGTCACCGCTACTTCTATAGCTGAGGTCGCTATTTTCTGCTTCTGAAGCAGACATGTGTGTGTACTATTTATCTGCTTGTATTTTGTTTTTGTTTTTTTTTCATTAAGCAATATAGGTATGTTACGCTGAAGAAAGCATAAACCCTTCGTGTTATTTTATGAGAACACTCTGTAGTGGCTTCAGTATTTTGTAAATTTTTGCTTAAGCTTTTATAAAGAAACCTGATGCTGAATAGAAAATGTAGCAATGTCTAACTTCGGTACCTTATGGTTTTTGTATGATTTCCTCTTGCATCCTAAGTGTGCGGTGTGCCGTATTATCTTGTCCCACTTAAGGGATGATTTTATATCGAGATACGTGCTGTGAACTTGTGTATAGTTATTACTGTTTTTCTTTTGTCTTTGTATATACGTATGTGCGGCAATGTGGACTGGATTGATACTAGGTTATTAGCATGCAGGCATGTGCGGTCCACTTTTGTATGCGACCAAAAACGTAAAACATTCAAGTTGTATTTGTACTGCATAAACCGTACGTTTAGGCAATAAAACATTCAAACAAACTCTGCTCTTTATTCTTGTCTAATTTATGTGTACACGTAAACAAAAACAACGTCTTACATAGAATAAGTAGTGCACAAATAGGTGGATGGGCAGACCATGAATCAGAACGCAATGATGGCCGTTTTCATCATGTGGCGGGTTGCGCAACAGGAAGAAGGTCGCGTGCTTGCCATCTGAATACCTTCCACTCGCTCAATTTGGCTTGATGGTGCATCCCAATTGAATTAGGCACTCAATGCCCCCCTCACCACTCGGATCCTCAGTCGTCATCAAGATGGCGTCCCCCAGTGCATGTCTGCAATGCGCCGCCATGCTTTCGTACCGCCCCCAAACACCAGGCGTTCGTCCGGCGCTGCGAGCGAATATCGCGTTCTATGGAGGGTATAGGAAGTTTCACTCCCCTGGTAGAATCGCGCATCTTTGTTTCATTTCCCCCGGCGGCAGATGAAGCTCGCCGAGCAAGTTGAATAGGCCTATGATGGTACTGTTTGAGGCGGGCTGCGTGAACAATTTGCGTAGTGCGCGAACACCGGTTATTGGCTGTAACTCGGGCGACAACGTAATTCACGTCACTGAGACGAGTGACTATCACGAATGGGCCGGAATAGTTTGCTAGAAACTTCCGGTACAATCCTTTTCTACGAACAGGAGTCCACAGCCACACGTAGTCACCAGGAGAAAACTCTACGGGGATATGCTTGGCATCGTAGCGACTCTTTCTGTGTTCTTGCGAAGACAATGCTCGACGTGCTTCTTCAGCGTGACACAACGTCAGAGCGATGGAGAGATCTTCCTGATGCGAGAAAGGTAATAGAGTGTCCAGAAAACTCTGTGGGTTTCGTGCGTAAAGCAGAAAGAAGGGCGAATGTCTAGTAACTTCATGCTTGGCGGTGTTATACGCGTAAGTAACAAACGGTAAGACGGCGTCTCAGTTCATGTGGTCAGCATCAACGTACATCGATAGCATATTCGTGAGAGTTTGATTTGTTCTCTCAATGAGACCATTAGTTTGCGGATGGTAAGGGGTGAAGTGGCGATAAGAGGAGCCACAGAGGCGCAAAATTTCTTCAGCCACATCGGCCATAAATTGTCGTCCACAATCACTGATGACAACCCGTGGAGCACCGTGACGCAGTATGACCCGTTGTAACAGAAAAGAAGAAACAGCGGCTGCTGTGGCCGATGTCAGTGCGTCCGTTTCCGTATAACGCTATAAATAATCCACGCACACTATGACATATCGGTGGCCCGATGGGGTCTTAGGAAGGGGTCAAAGCAAGTCGATACCGACTTTTTCAAAAGGGAATGTTGGTGGAGGGATGGGCTGCAAATAACCTGCCGGGGCAGTGGTGGATCGCTTGTGGCGCTGACATATAGCGCAGCTAGCGACGTACTGTTTTGTGGTCTTCCACATTTTCGGCCAGTAGAACCTCTCACGTAGTCGATGTAGCGTACGTGTGAAACCGAGATGACCAGCTGTTATGTCATCGTGCGCAGAACGAAGGACGACCTGGCGCAGGCTTTCCGGCACCCCTAGAAGCAACGGGAGGCCATCGGCTGAATAGTTTATTTTATACAGCAAGCCATTTCAAATTTTAAGGTGCTTGTCGACGGAGTTATGTGCAGCTTCCATCAAGGGTTTCAGAGTAGGGTCGCGCTGCTGCTCACGTTTGAAGCTGCTGGTATCTGGAAAGTCGGACGAGACAGAGACTAAATAGTCATCAATGTCATTGTCGTCAGCATTGGTGTGTACCGAAGGAAGGTGGGATAAGCAGTCGGCATCTATGTGACATCGTCCGCTCCTATAGGTAACAGAAAAGCTGTACTCTTGGAGGCGCAACGCCCAACGAGCCAGCCGGTCAGACGGATCACGAAGTCCCACAAGCCAGCATAGTGAGTGGTGATCGGTCACTATTGTGAACTCGCAGCCATGTAGATACGGTCGGAACTTCTGAATGGCGAAGACGACTGCTAAGCACTCGAGATCGGTGACGGTGTAGTTCGTCTCTGCTCGGGTCAGTGTCCGACTGGCATATGCTACGACGTGCTGGGGGCTGTTGCAGAGTTGCACCAGCACAGCACAAACGCCTAGCCCACTTGCATCAGTATGAAGTTTAGTAAAAGTATCAGGATCAAAATGCTTTAGGATGGGTCCTGAAGTCAATAAAAACTTCAGCTGTTGAAATACAGCCTCACATTTATCATCCCACAAGTATGGTGTGTCTTTATGAAGAAGGCACGTCAGTGGGGAGGTAAGTTATGCGAAGTTCTTAATAAATCGGCGGAAATATGAGCACAGACCCAGAAAACTTCGCCGGTCCTT